ATAATATTACACAGGTTTTATATAGAGTTTTATACAGGTTTTATATCCAGCGCTTTCCCATATATCATTAGAACACCAATGGGGAGCCTTAGAATGAACACGTTAATGCTTGTTTGACCATATTTTTCAGTGTCTAATGGTGACCATTTATGCATCCTCTTCCCCCTTTTTTTTTTTTTCTTTTGTTTTTAAATCTATTATTTTTATGTGACGCTTGATTTTATTTATTTTTAAATCTGATTTTTTTATTTTTTTTTTAAATCTGATGTGCGGTTCAAAAAAAATAATTGAATCCGCAAACAACCAAAACTTCTTTTATGATGGCTTGAGACTGTTTTTTTTTTTTTTTTTTAAATATATATTTTTATTTATGTGACCTGTCATTTTTTAGTTGTTTTTTATCTGATCAACTGTGCAATATTTATTTATTAAATCTGATGTGTGATTCAAATAAAATGATTGAATCCACACACAACCACAAGTTCTCTTATGATGGCTTGAGACTCAGTTTTTTTTTTTTTTTTTAATATAATATTTTAATTTGTGACCTGTAATTTATTAGGTTTTTTTTTTTTTTCTATTCATCTGATCAACTTCAATATTTATTTTTTAATCTGATGTGTGATTCAAATAAAATGATTGAATCTGCAAACAACCAAAACTTCTTTTATGATGGATTGAGACTGTGTTTTTTTTTTTTTTGTTTTTTTTTTGTTTTTTTTATAACATTTTTATTTCTGTGACCTGTAATTTATTATTTACTTTTTGTATATGATCAACTGTGCTTTATTTATTTTATATTTTAATCTGATATGCAATTCTGATAAAAGGATTGAATCCGCAAATAACCAAAACTTCTTTTATGATAGAACGAGACTCGGTTTTGTGCAGATTCCATCAAATTGAGTCAGTCGGACCAGAGTGGAATATTATGAATTGTTTTTGCATTGATCCACAGCCCTGAGATACTTCATAAATACATATTCATATCAGGTTATGAGATGACATGGTGGAAACAGAGCGGTGGTTAATAATTTATGATCAGAAGATACCCTCAGAAATGATCTGTAAATAAAAAGCCACTTTCCTGTTTGTGGCATATTGATCGACTGTAGATCAATTATTGCTATTGGAAGAGATAATGTAGAAAATAAACTGATCATTTATTGAAGCGCATAATACTCATACTTTAGATGTTTTACCTCTACTTGTGTTAAAGGATAAGTTCACCTTGGTGTGAAAAAAAAAAGTGCATTTATTTTATTTTTACTAGGAGACTGGAAAGCATTGCATGTGTGATCAGCAGATCGTGGATGCCATGCAGGTCTCCTGGAGACTGTCAGTGTATCTCTGTGCATTAGCAGATACACACAGACCAGAAGAGAGAATAAACTACCAGAGCTCTCAACAGCGCTGTGGTAGGTTATTGGGCAGCACAGTGGCTAAATGGTTAGCACTTTTGCCTGGCAGTACTAGGGTTGTTGGTTGAATCCCAACCACAGCACCACCTGCCTGGAGTTTGCATGTTCTCCCTGTGCCTGTGTGGGTTTCCTCTGGGTACTCTGGGTACCTCCCACACTCCAAAGACATGCTGGTAGGTAAATTGGCTCCTGTCTAAATTGGCCCTAGTATGTGTATGTATGAATGAATGTGAGTTAGGGACCTTAGATTGTACGCCCATTGAGGGGATAGTGACTGATGTGAATGTACAATATCTATGTAAAGCGCTGCGTAAAAAATTTATGGCGCTATAGAAGTACCTGTAATAAATAAATTGAGAACTACAAGCTGACAGCTGCAAAGTATGACGGTACTTGTAGTTTTACATTCACAGAATTCTGTGAATGATGTGGCCAAGGGGTAGCCCTGCATGGCCACTTTTTTTTTTTTTTTTCTCTCTCTTAAAACGTACTTTTTTTTTTTTCCCCCACGAGTTGAGCATTCTTTCAGTGGTATTTGATCTCCTGTGCGTTTTTAAATTTTTTGCGCTATAGAAGAAAGCAGACAATTTTGAGAAAAAAACAATATTTTTGACTTTTTGCTATTAAACATGTCCAGTAAAAAAAAAATCAAATTTAGTCATAAATTAAGGGCTCATGTACACGAGGCGTTTGGAAAACTCTTCTGAATGATGGAAACTGACTGCTGGAAAATGTAGGTTAAAAAAACGTCAGTTTAGCTGTGTTTGCATAAAGCATTTAGCCGCGTTTCTGCACGTTTATTCACGTTGGCGTTTCGAAGCGTTTTTAAAAGATAACCTAAGGGGACCTTCCCAAATGCCCAGAATGCACTGAAAAATAGTAAATTCACTAAAAAAGGCTACTAAAATACTGCAGAAGTTACTTTATCAAGTCATGCGGTATTTTAGTAGTGAAAAGCATGTATTGTTTCAGCTGTCAGCGGGATTCCCACTGACAGCTGAATGTAAAAGAAAGAATTGCCGGCAATTAAAAAATACAAAAATAATAAAAAAAGTCACCATGCCAAAATTAAAAAAAAAAAAAAAAAAGGTGGGGTTCCCCCAAAAATCCATACCAGACCCTTATTCGAGCATGCAGACAGGAGACATTCTTTGACAAGTCCTTTTAATAAAAGAATGCCCCCCCGAAGTAGATCCAACATCAATCACGATGTCCACCGCCGCCTCTCCAAAAACAAAAAAAAAGCTCCACTACCATCGCTGGCCCCTGGCCATCTGCTCAGAAACTGGTTTGGCAGTTCTTAAATATGTAAGGGGCGGGGCCACCCGGTGACCTCACCAGTGTGACCCCGCCCCCATGTACATCGACCAGGGTATCCTGGTCCCTGATGTCACATGGGGCGGGGTCACATACGTGATGGCCCCGCCCCTTACATATTTAAGAAATGTCAAACCAGCCTCTGAGCAGATGGCCAGGGGCCAGCGACAGTAGCGGAGCGTTTTCTCTTTTTTTTCTTTGGCGGCGGACATTGTGTTTGATGTTGGATTTACTTCGGGGGACATTCTTTTATTAAAGGACTTGTCAAAGAATGACTCCTGTCTTTTTTTCCACATTACAGCTTTTTTTTTTTTTTTTTTGTGTGAATGGGTAGCGGTGCTATGTACTCCATACTCATTCACGTGGTGGGGGGGCGGGATCTGGGGGCCCCCTTGCTACAGGGGACTTCCAGATTCTGATAAACCCTCCCCCCCCCGCCCGCAGACCCCCACAACCACCGGCCAGGGTTGTGGACAAGAGGCCTTTGTCCCCATCAACATGGGGACAAGGTGCTTTGGTGGGGAGCGCCCCCTACTCCAAAGCACCCCCCCCCATGTTCAGGGTATGTGGCCTGGTATGGTTCAGAGGGGGGGGCTTCTGACCTGCTGGGCTGCATGCTCGGATAAGGGTCTGGTATGGATTTTGGGGGGAACCCCACGCCATTTATTAATTTTTTTTTTTGGCGTGGGGCTTCCCCTCAAGGGACCCGAAGGGCTTGGTATGGATAGGATGGGGGGACCCCACGCCATTTTTAAAAATAATTTTTTAATTGCCGGCAATTCTTTCGTTTACATTCAGCTGTCAGTGGGAACCCCGCTGACAGCTGAAACATGATGCATGCTTTTCACTAATAAAATTCCGCATGACTTGATAAAATCATGCGGTATTTTAGCAGCCTTTTTTAGTGGATTCAAATAGGGTTAAAAAAAAAAAAAAAAAAAAAAAATGCTATGCGGTATCCTACCGCATACTCGAATGCGGTAGGATACCATTTAGTGAATTGTGCCCTGGATATGAACCTGTCAAAAACGCTTCTAAATGCAAATGCTTATAAACACTGTTAGCTGCATTTACAAGCGTTTGGCGTTTGAAATGCTGATAAAATCTACTCCTGAACGCACGTTTGGTGCGTTCAAAAAAAGACTGTAAACTCAACTGCCTGTAAATGACTGTAAACGACATAGTGTACATGGACACATAGGAAAACAATAGGGAGAGTTCAGTGGCTTTTTTTACTAGTAATGGCGGCGATCAGCAACTTATAGCCGGACTGCGGCGGACATTCTGACACTGGGAACTGAGTTGGTGTCACTGACTCCCCAGTGACACCAATACAGTGATCAGTGCTAATAAAAAGCACTGACACTGTACTAATGGCACTGGGCAGGAAGGGGTTAACGTGGGGTGCAGAGCCATACAAAGCATTGTGCAGGAGCTGACAGGGGAGAAAACTGTATTGTTTAAATACAGTTCTCTCCCCCCGTCGGTATTACTTGGTGATTACCGGGTGCTGGCAAATAATCACCGGCTGGGACACAGTGATTTACAGCCGAGGTTGCAAATGGTGGCACGGGTAAGGTTCAAATGCGCCCCCTACTCAGAAATGTGTGCCTGGTTTTTTTTTTTTTTTTTTTTTTGTGCACCCGTGCTGACCTGTAGCAGTATTTCTGCTATGGGCAGACAGCAAGCGGTTAATGCAAGCAGGGAGAGAAGATCCCCCACTAGCTTTCACTGTATGCAGCAGAGCGGGGCAGCAGGAACATGTTCCAGCCACAAAATGCGTGCAACATGTTCCCTAAGGTGAACTTCTCTTTTAAGCCAGCCATGCATGGACTGAAATCATGTATGGGCAGTCTGGTTATACTAATCCACTTGTGTACAAACAGCCTGTTTTCCTGAATGATCAAAGCTGCAGGTTATAGTTGGCAAGACTAATCAGTGTGTTCTGACAACAGGGAAGGGTCTCTGCCATCGGGAACACAATAGCACAGTGGGGGCGACTTCCCCCATCCACATTACATGTTTGTGGATGGGGGGAGTCCAAGTAATTTTTTATTTTATTTTTTGTTCAACCAGCTGGTTGAATGAAGAAAAAAAAAATGATTAACCGCCTCCCGCTCGCCATATAAGAAAATGACAAGCGCAAGGCGGTTCTCTGGTTCTGGGAGGACGTCATATGACATCCTCCCACTCTAACCACGTGTACGTGGCCACCCGCGGCGATTGGTGGTGCGCTGTGTCCCTGGGACACAGCAGATCACCGATCAATGGAAAGAGCCGAAGACGGCGGCTCTGTCATGTGATCAGCTGTGTCCAATCACAGCTGATCGCATGTAAATAAGGAAATGCCGGTTATCGGCATTTCTCTCCTCACGAGCTGTCGCGCTGACAGCTCGTGAGGAGAGCAGGTAATTGGCATTACTCAGAGGGGACATGTACACTGATCATCAGGGCAGCCCCATCAGTGCCACCTGTTAGTATCCATCAGTGCCACCTGCCAGTGACCATCAGTGCCAAATCAATGCCACATATCAGTGCCTACCAGTGCACATCAATGCCACATCAGTGCCCATCTGATCTGCCTTTCAGTGCTTCCAGACAGTGCCGCCTATCAGTGCCAGTCATTGCCGCCTATGAGTGCTGCCTTTCAGTGCCCATCAGTGATGCCTGTCATAGCCCATCAGTGCCACCTGTCAGTGCAGCCTATCAATGCCCATTACTGCAACCTCATTAGCGCACATCAGTGAAGGAGAACAATCACTTAGTTACAAATTTTTTATAACAGAAACTAAGAAAAAACATTTTGGTTTCAAAATTGTCAGTAGTTTTTGGTTTCTTTAGCAAAATATAAATAAACCCCAGAGGTGATTAAATACCACCAAAAGAAAGCTCTGTCAAAAAAAAAATTCAAAGTGCGACAGTGCTGAAAGCTGAAAATTAGCCTGGACAGGAATGAGGTATAAGTGCCCTGTAGGCTAGTGGTTAAAGTGGTTCTGTTCCTATGTGCTCGTGGGGTGTATCCCTTCCCTCCAATCAGCTTTTAGAGCTCTCCTCGCTGAGTTCTGCAGTGTGTAGTTTCAGCTCTCTGTCCCGTTTTCTGAACTCTGACAAGCTTATAAATTCTGGACTTTGAAAGGATGTAGAGAAGAGGGTGTGGAAATTCTTTAAAAAAAACTATTTGTCCAAAGGACTAAATCGGGGTCCCAATCTACATGTCCCCCATGTCGATCTACTTGTCCTGATTAAAAAAAATAAATACAAGTACATTTTTGCCAGGATGGAAAAAAATTGAAGGATTGATGTATTTTAATAGGCAGAGGTATTTTTAGGAATATCTGGGATGTATAGATTTATGATGAAAATTTTATGGGACACTCGGACACAGGCCCAAATTTAGTTTTTTCTGGTATTTACCAAAACATATACAAGCTTTAGTTATATAATGGATATGGGCTGAAAGTGCACACACTCAGGTGTAATTCGAGGGTATGTACATCCAAATTGGAGGAAGGGTTTAGAAATTTTAGCTCTTAAGAGTAGCCATCCCCCCTTTTTTCAAGGGACCAAAAGTAATTGGACAATTGAAAAAAAAAAAGCTGTTTCATGGCCAGGTGTGGGCTACTCCTTCGTTATTTCTTCATCAATTAAGCAGGCAAAAGGTTGGAAGTTAAAGGGACGGTGCAAAACAAACCCAAAAACCATTAAATAGAAAAAAAAAAAAGGGCCCCCGTCCCCTTGGTGAGCGCATACATAGGCCATGCCCACATATGTAAATGGTGTTCAAACCACACACGTGGGGTATCGCCACGAATGTCAGAACAGGAGCAATAATTCTTGCTCTAGACCTTCTCTGTAACTTTACACTGCTAACCTGTAGAAATTTTTAAAGCATCACCCATGGAGATTTTTAAGTATTGCAGTTTCACGCCATTCCTTGAGTGTGCGCAATTTTAAAGCGTGATATGTTTGGTACCTATTTACTTGCCGTAACATCCTCTTTCATATTTTACAAAACAATTGGGCTATTTATTGTTTTTTTTTGCAATCAGTGTATTTTTTTCCAAAAAATATATATTCATTTTTAAAAACTGCACATTTCGGTTTTTGGCCAAGAGCATTTTGAACTTTCGTTTTCGGCACCAGCATTTTCATTTCGGTGCACAACTACTTTCAGCCCATATCCATTATTGAACTATAGCTTGGGGGGGTCTTTTTTAACATTTAAAAAAAAAAAAAGGATTTATTTTTATACTGTTGCTTTCCTGGTCAATCTATCTAGGGCTACGGTTGCCACTTTTTTTTTCTTCAAGCCAAACCTGAACAATTGAGTGGTGCACAATTTTTCTTTTTTTTTTGTAAGTATACGCTATAGGGGATGGCCAAATTATATTAACAGTATGAGGAGCTTAAAGGGGCATGGTTACATTCTTATACCCATAAAATATGCTTAGATTAATACAACAAATGTCACTGTAAATATATGACGTTAGTCTACCTTAACCACTTGCCTACTGGCCACTTTTACCCCCTTCCTGCCCAGGCCAATTTTCAGCGCTGTCCCACTTTAAATGACAATTGCGCGGTCATGCAACACTGTACCCAAACTAAATTTTTATCTTTTTTGAGACAAATAGAGCTTTCTTTTGGTGGTTTTTAATCACCATGGGGTTTTTTATTTTTTGCTAAGCAAAAAAGACCACACATTTTGAAAAAATAGTTTCTAGTAAAACGTTTTGTAAATAAGTGATATTTTTCCTTCACTGATGGGCACTGGCAGGTGGCGCTGATGGGGCTCTGCTAATTATCAGAGCACTGATGATCAGTGTAGATGTCCCCCTGATAAATGCTGCTTATGCAGGCCATAGATGGGTCGAAAATTGGCCGATTTTTCTTAAAAAAAAACCGAAAAATCGGTCGTTCAAGCGGCCGACGTTACCAGCAACAGTAAAAAAAATCGGGCCGATTTTCATCCCGTCTACAGCCGGCAAAAAGTGTCCCTGCAGAGAGCTCCACTATTTCTTTGACAGTTCCTTGACATTTATAGCGGTTGCAACAATGTATTTTGTATCCATTTAGGATACAGATGTTTTTATTCGGAAACAAATAGATACATTGTTGCAAACCGCTATAAATGTCAAGGAACTGTCAAAGAAATAGCGGAGCTCTCTGCATGGACACTTTTTGCCGGACTGGAATTCTTCTTCTTCTCCCTCCTCATCCTCCCTCCTCATCCCTCCCTCCTCATCCTCCCTCCTCCATCCTCTCCTCCTCCTCCTCCCTCCTCCTCCTCCCTCCTCATCATCCTCCTCCTAATCATCCTCCTCCTCATCCTCCTCCTCCTCCTCCTCATCCTTCTTCTTCCCTCGTCACTGCTCATGCGCAGATTTTTTTTTATCGGTAAAAAGATCGGCCGATTTGCCCATCATTGCCGCGAAGATCGGCAAAATCGGACGTTTTTTTTCCAACTTTACCAGTAAAAAAAATCTGCCAAAATACCGAAAAACGGCCGAACAATTAGCCCACTAACGATCCGAAAATCGGCTGATTTTCGACCCATCTATGTTCTGCATTACTGTCAATGTGAGAAGACTGCCGATAACTGGCATTTCCTATTTACACTGTACTTGGACACAGCTGGTCCCATTGTAAAAGGTGGCTCTGATTGTCCCTTTACTTGGACACGTGATATGCTATGTCCAGGGGGCACGCAGGGGATGTGATTTTGGGGGAACATCCATGGACGCCCTCCCAGAACTAGTCGACCGTGCTGTAGCGGTCTTTTAGCTATAGTGCAGTTGGGAAGTGGTTAAAAGTGGACAGTGTCAGTCAGTAGAGCCGTGGGCGGTGCCAGCATGACATGAAAGCGGCCCATTCAAGTGAACGGGAGCTTTCCGCATCCATGTGCAGTGCATGCAATTGCAGGGAGCTGCTGTGGGGTTTAAACAGGTAGTGATGAGGCCAGGGCCGGTGCCAGACTATTTTGCGCCCTAGGCAAGACAGCCACGTGCACAGCCCCAACCCCCCCAACAAGTAGTGATACATGTCACATGCACACCCAGCATACATTAGACATGAGACATGCTGAGGGGAGTTGGGGCAGTGGAAGCAGATTGGTGTCCTGGCAGAGGATGTTTGGACATGTTGGAACTCGTACTTCTCCAGCAGGTGGATGTACGTGATGTTACCCTTGTGAGGTGCACCCACAAACCGAGGGTTCTACTCAGCTATGATGTCAGCAGAGATGGGGGAGCACACGCCGCCATGTCATTGAGAGCTTCACCCACCTAGCACCACACTACTGAGTTGGCCAGCCTGCCTTGGAAGTGATTTGTCAGACAGAGCAGCACTTCAGGGAGGTGGCTGTTGGCTGGACGGAGAAAATGTGCAGATGCAGTTGCCTGAAATTGTGTGCTCGGCAGGTGAAGGGGAGCTGTGTACTGGTGAGGGGACACGGTGCCCCCTTCCTCCACTCACCCAGCTATCAGTCAGCGCCTCATAGTCGTGTAGGGTGGTGGCCTTCAGCCCCTCGTGTTCCCTGGGCAGGCTAGTAGGAAACCAGTGGCTGTGACTGCACCCTAGGCAGCTGGCTAGTTCACCTTGTGGTAGCATCGGCCCTGGATGAGGCAACATAAACACCTCCTCACTGCCTGTCAAGTGCATTCTGAAGAGCAATCCACATTCAAATCACTCTTCAGAGGGCACCACGTGTGTAAATGAGTCCTAATGCAGGCCATACATGGGTTGATTTCTGAACAAATTTGCTTTAGAAAATTTGAAATATTGTGCGTTTTGTAATCCGATGGTGCCACCATTGAATTCGAAAAACCAAGCCTTCAATTTCACATGTTGCTGCAGAAAAGAATTTTTGTGGCAAAGAATTTTCTTTTCTTTCCAGATCACAGCTCATGCTCATTTCTTTTTCGATTATATTTCTCACACGATTCTCCCAACCTTGATTAGAAATGAGTTTGTTTTTCAAAAAAATGTCAGACATGCCAGATCACTCAAATTCGATGGTTGCATGAAAATTGGCCATTTCTTTGGCCCACTAATGGTGTGAAATTCGAACAAAAATTCTTAGAAAAGATTTTCAAAAGAAAATTCTTTCAGAATCCGACCCATGTATGGCTGGCTTAAGGCTGCTCAGTTATTCCAGTATTTTCTGTGCAATCAGCAGGGAACTGGGGACAGGGACAGGAAGAGGACTTTTGCTGAATAACCTCGTCTGCAGCAATTACAAAAAAATTCTGTTCAGCTGGGGGCCAGGGGAAGGAACAGGACTATTTAACCCTGGGCTCAAGTGCTTACCTCTTGTAGTTCTCAGCACCGACCTCTACTAATCCTTGTGCAGCAGTTCTGACTTCCATTTCTTTACCAATTATTGGGGCATATAATTGCTGGGAACCGCAGCACAAGGATTAATCTGCTTGCGCCCAAAAATGATCAAATAGTCCCAGCAGAGTAATCCTTGTGCTGTGGTTCCCGGCAATTACGTGCCCCGGTGGATTGGTTTAGAAGTTAAGGTCGGGACCCTAATTTTATTGTCGGAACTGCTGCATAAGGATTGTCTAATCCTTATGCAGCAGTTGACACTTGTGTCTGGTAAACATTAGACCTGTTCTTCCCCCATCCGCTAGCTGAGCAGATGGAGCCCAGAGCCACAGTCCATAGACTAGAATTCCCATGGAAGGCAGCGGGAGG